CCTAAATATTTAACTTAAATATTTAGCTAGCCGCCTAAATATTTAACTTAAATATTTAGCTAGCCGCCTAAATATTTAACTTAAATATTTAGCTAGCCGCCTAAATATTTAACTTTACAAACTATGACATTTATAAATGTATGAATCATATGGTGAAAAACTGACTTTGAAAAATAAATCTGTTCTTTTTTTCTTATAAAAGACTAAATAAAACAAAAATATTGGTGGTAATTTTTGACTGTAACTTTACAAACGGCAGCCCATAGAGAAGGCCAGTTTTAGGACCAACACAGCTCTGCAACAGACAAACAGCTCGTCTCTGCTTCTTTCACAGCACCGATCAGCCGTGCATGAAATTAGAACGGTCTTGACTACAAGCTGCAGCAGAGCGGAGAGGCTGAACATGTTTTCACCCAGTCATCCACAGGGAGGGGCTGAAGATTCACTGATCTCTGTTAGGATCATCACATCCTCCCTCATTTCTCTAAAAATCTCTGTTTTATCGTGCGACCAACCAACTCCTGCCTTCTGCATAAAAACCAGGGCCAAAAGAGTTCCGAAGATTTATTTTGATGGAGCCGTTCCTCTCTAACGATGCTGTAGACCTCTTTCTAATGAGAACAGGGATGGAGGAGTAGTTAGAAAATGACTGGCTTGTTGTTTACTAACAAACTCTGGTGGTTTTAGTATATTAACCCTGCAGTATTCAGAGGAATATCTGACACTCGTACACTGTTACTCTGCAGGATATATTTACATGACAAAATGTCTTTAAGGAAAATTCTGTTATTTTTTACTTTACAAGTTTTCTCTGCATACATTAGCTGCTGCATCGGCTGTGAATACACCCTGTCCTCCACTGAAACCATCTGCTTGGTGCATAAAAATGACATTTTCACACATAATACCATGTTATCCAGTCAGTGTGCTCATGAATAGCTCCCCGCTGGCACTGTGAATGTAAAATTAGGCCTATTATTACATTGTCCTCTTAAAGAATGGGCCAGAATCACGAGCATGATCAAATTTATGAAAAGAGACAAT